TACATTAACTATAATATCAAAAAATTTTAGAAATATGCTTCTAAATAGAATTTCCAAGAAACAATACATAGACAGAAATATATAACGCAAGAAAAACACGATTTTTCATATCTTCAAATTATTTGGCGTTCCGCACTACTGAATAAAATCATCTACTGACCAGAGATGGCAGCACAGTACCCTTTCAGTGATTCCTCAGTGAATATATGTCACCGCTAACGGAATCAAAAGGATTAACCAACACACTTGAACATTATATGAAATACAAGATGAATTAAGTTATAAGTTATTCTGTTAAATTCATTTCATCTGCAGTGAAAAACAATTGGTTTCTTTAAAAATTCGGTATTATAAACTTCTATGCAGTACGTCCTCTTTTTTAAAATCAATATGATAATTTTCTGTGCAGTGCAAAAAGATTTTCCCTTCAAAAGAATAGAAAGCCGAGTGTGGTCCAGTGCCCTGGGCTGTGGATCCGATAGTTGCCATGGTTTTACTCGTATATCTAAGATGATCTTCCTGTTTATGATATTTTGCCGGTACTTCTGAATGATTTTTTTTTATGTTTATGGCCCCCTGGCGGAGTTTCTGAGCAGGTCCTTGTTATTCATGTGCGTGATATCGTTTTCATAAATATACACATAACCTAAGAGGCTTCGCTAAATTGTTTTTATGATATAACATTCGTTCTCTCTCCCTCTCCACAAGGAAGTAAACTATGTGAAAAGTTGCTACTCTCTGCCTTACGTAAATTCTCTTTTCAGTTAAATATTTTACATTAGTTTATTGAATTATAAAATGAGGTTTAGTACATTATATTAAAAGGATTTTGGAGCCTCATCTAGTCGTTACAATCCACGTCGCCGCGTCCTGTTATAATCTACCGTGGATAGTGAGGTTGTATCTGCAGTATAGTTTCTAATACAAAAGGCTCCATCATAAAAGTGTCACGTCGAAAGCGCATCATTCCTTCCTGCATGTTTTCCATCTACTGTACGAGGACTACGGTTTCTCAGCACTCGTTTCAACAGTCCGATCGCATAGAAATCCATAGGTGCAGCTTCCGGCGACTTGAGTGCTATGTATACTTATGGAATAGCAAGATATCTGTTTCATTCTTCAGCTGCTTGAGATAAACTGAAAATGAAGAGCGGATATGACTGGAAGACTTTCATTACAGATGTAAATCCTTCTTAATTATGTTGCTTAATGTCACTCGGGGCACATGGACAACTTTAGCCACTTGCCATTGTACTTGTGGCTTCTCATCTGTTACAGAACTTATTGTACATCTATTTCTGGATGGTCTTTGTGCTTCAAATGGATCCAAATTTCTTTGTTTTTCAGGGCCATTAAGTATGTATAAGAGATATCCCTGTCGTAAAAATTATAAATCTCCCATCTGAATAACTCGTCATGGTCTCAGTGCATGAGTATGTTGGGTGAGAAGGGGATGTTACACACTATTGTCTCAATGCATGAGTATGTTGGGTGAGAAGGGGATGTTACACACTATTGTCTCAATGCATGAGTATGTTGGATGTTACACACTATTGTCTTAGTGCATGAGCATTTTGGGTGGGAAAGGGATGTTACACACTATTGTCTCAGTGCGAATGTTGGATGGTACACACTATTGTCTCAGTGCATGAGTATGTTGGATGGTACACACTATTGTCTCAGTGCATGAGTATGTTGGATGTTACATACTATTGTCTTAGTGCATATGTTGGATGTTACACATTATTGTCTCAGTGCATGAGTATTTTGGGTGGGAAGGGGATGTCACACACTATTGTCTCAGTGCATGAGTATGTTGGGTGGGAAGGGGATGTTACACACTATTGTCTCAGTGCGTATGTTGGATGTTACACACTATTGTCTCAGTGCATGAGTATTTTGGGTGGGAAGGGGATGTTACACACTATTGTCTCAATTCATGAGTATTTTGGGTGGGAAGGGGATGTTACACACTATTGTCTCAGTGCATGAGTATGTTGAATGTTACACACTATTGTCTCAATGCATGAGTGTGTTGGATGTCACACACTATTGTCTCAGTGCATGAGTATGTTGGGTGGAAAGGGGATGTTACACACTATTGTCTCAATGCATGAGTATGTTGGATGTTACACACTATTGTCTCAATGCATGAGTATGTTGGATGTTACACACTAATGTCTTAGTGCATGAGTATTTTGGGTGGGAAGGGGATGTTACACACTATTGTCTCAGTGCATGAGTATGTTGGATGTTACACACTATTGTCTCAGTGCGTATGTTGGATGTTACACACTATTGTCTCAGTGCATGAGTATGTTGGGTGGGAAGGGGATGTTACACACTATTGTCTCAGTGCATGAGTATGTTGAGTGGGAGGGAGATGTTACACACTATTCCAAAAAAGCGATCAATTTTTGGTGGTTTCGCACTTCCTACGTAATACCTAACAATATCAAAATGTAGTTCTGATACATGCTGTTCCACTGCTACTTTACATACATTCTGTTCCACTACTACTTTACACGTATTGTTTTGCTTACTCAGAATCATTTACTATAATGCACGTAAAACTTTGTATTCTTAGCAGCCAGTTAAGAACATAAACATAATTTAAAAAAGAGACACGCAAGAACATGAACGTAATTAAAAAAATAAAAGCGAGATTCTTTGATGGTTCCTAGCAGTTAATCCCTAAATACTACTTATTACCATTTGTATACTGCATTTTTACTGAAATCAAACCATACATACTTTTTGTTAAGTCTTCTATTAAAAGTTGTTTTAATTCCAGTTCCACAGTTAATTTGTTGCATTTATTGGTTATATTGATTTATAAATTTCGCAATTTATGTTACAAGTTGTGAATATTTTTAACAGAGTTTTCTAAATCAATGATAATTAAATCTGTATTAACCGGACAATAAATGAATAATATATGTTATACAATATTCATCAGGAGCTTATGTTTCTTCGTGTTACCAAATTGCCTTCTGGGTCCACAAAAAGAAACAAGACACTGAATTATCAAACACGAAGCCGATTTGAATTATGCTAAGCCTACCTTGATCTCACAGAGACAGCCTAATATTTTAATAGCTCATTCATATTCAAATATTTTGCAAATATTTATTCATCAATATTTTGTGAATGGAGTTCTGATATGATGAAATATTTAAAAGAAATCACCACTAAAACCATTTCCTTGAGGTCATATCCACTACAACCAGATTTTAGAGCACATTTCCTTGAGGTCATATCCACTAAAACCAGGTTTTCAGAGTGCATTTCCTTGAGTTCATATCCATCTAAAACCAGGTTTTCAGAGCGCATTTCCTTGAGTTCATATCCACTAAAACCAAATTTTTAGAGCGCATTTCATTGAGTTCATATCCACTAAAACCAGGTTTTCAGAGCGCATTTTATTGTGTTCATATCCACTAAAACCAGGTTTTCAGAGCGCATTTCCTTGAGTTCATATCCACTAAAACCAGGTTTTCAGAGCGCATTTCCTTGAGTTCATATCCACTAACCCCAGGTTTTCAGAGCCCATTTTACTGAGTTTATATCCACTAAAACTAGGTTTTCAGAGCGCAATTCCTTCAGTTCATATCCATCTAAAAACAGGTTTTCAGAGCGCATTTCCTTGAGTTCATATCCACTAAAACCAGATTTTTAGAGCACATTTCCTTGAGTTCATATCTACTAAAACTAGGTATTCAGGGCCCGGTATGACCAGATGGTTAGGGTACTCGACTCGCAATCTGAGGGTCGCGGGTTCGAATCCCCGTCCCACCAAACATGCTCGCCCTTTCAGCCGTGGGGGCGTTATAATGTGACGGTCAATCGTACTATTCGTTGGTAAAAGAGTAGACCAAGAGTTGGCGGTGGGTGGTGATGACTAGCTGCCTTCCCTCTAGTTTTACATTGCTAAATTAGGGACGGCTAGCGCAGATAGCCCTCGTGTAGCTTTGCGCGAAATTCAAAAAAACAAACTAGGTTTTGAGAGCGCATTTTCTTGAGTTCATATCCACTAAAACCAGGTTTTCAGAGCGCATTTCCTTGGGTTTATATCCATCTAAAGTTTCTAATTACACCTTTCTGTTCTTTATATTATATACAAATATATTTTGATTGAGATTTTTAAAGCATATTACCGCGATGTTAAATAGGATGTGTCACATTCGTTAAATTTAACTTTTATATAAGCTTGTTTGTTTGTTTGTTGTTAAGCAAAAACCTACACAATTGGTTATCTGTACTTTGCCTACCACGGGCATCGAAACCCGGTTTTTAGAGTTATAATACTACAGGCTTATCACTCTGCTACTGAGAGGCTTTATATAACATAATCGTTATTGTAAACTTGTACAAAATGTGTGCATTTTTTGCTTTTATAAATGGAAAACGTAAAAACAAATGTGAGTAAATTCTGTGCTATTCATCGAGGTATCATTCCTTCGTTTGGAATACTATTGTTGGCAACATTCAGAAAATTGTAGAAGCTCAGGAAGCAACATCTGAAAATACATCACAAATTCGTAACGTGATTGTTCTTTTTCATAATTACAATTTACTTTATATCATTTAACTTGTGAAGTAGCACATTACCAAATCATGGTGTTGGCTTCTGTAAAATTTTTTTATTTTTCTTCAAGATTGAAATATTAACACAGTAATAAGGGAAAACAGAGAAACATTTATGTAACTATCGTGGTAAAGAAGATCTGAAAATAAATAAGGCACTTCTGTTACCTCTCACTAAACTCACCAAAGAACTCACCTCAGACATGTTCAGTGTCCAGAAGACGTTCACCTACGGTTTAAACACTTTCTATTCATTGAGACATGACATTTCTTTAAAAAGTGTGTGAAAAGTTAGGCTTAGCAATTGGAATTTCTTTAAAAAGAGAGTAAAAAGCTAGGCTTAGCTATTCTGACATGAATAGTGTTTGCTTTTCCATTGAAACTGAGACAAAACGGTAATAAATCACGACTTGTTTTACGAAAATATTTAATTCGAAAGCAACATGTTTTTTTTTTGTTTTTTTTTCAAAACGTTTAATGCTTCACTACAAAAAATGACCGTGGTCATAATTAAAGACGTTCAATAACATATGACAGTTGTATTGGAGGAATAACTTCGCCATAAAATATTTTTACATCCCTAACTCATATTTGATTAAAATTATGTTTTCATCATCATTACGGTCTCATCTATTATAATAATACTCAGTTCTTGTCTGTCCTCAAAATTCGCACAAACCTAATAATTTAAATGCGCATGTGCGCACACTTAATATCAACGGATGTAAATATATTTCAGTAAAGATTTTGTACAACAACATATCTAAAGCTTATCAAAATTTTGAAAATGTCTAACGTTAGGTCGTAGAATAACATTATAAGTTTATTTATTGATACTATTAAGTACGGTGAAGTTTAGCACTAACTAAATTAAAAGAAAATAAAAAAACAACGTACGATAGTTACATTGTTAATATATTTCTTTATCGAACACAGGCCGTGATTTTTAATCTAACTGGTTGTTTGTTTCATATAGAATTATTTGTTCTTGGAGAAAATAACGTAAAGTTCTTGATACTCACGATTATAACAAACAGTACGATCTGTATAAATACAAATAATTAAGAACAATAATAATTCAGATAAACAAAAACACAAAAGTTAGATAAATGTAGTTCAATAAGCGCTCTTTGAATATTTGTAAGTTATGTGTCTTAACCCTACTTACATACATGCAGAATACCTGATTATGTATCTTAACCTTACTTACATACATACAGAATACCGGGTTAGGTATCTTAACCCTACTTACATACATGCAGAATACCTGGTTATGTATCTTAATCCTACTTACTGTCATACAGAATACCTGATTATGTATCTTAACCCTACTTACCGACGTACAGAATACCTGGTTAGGTATCTTAACCCCACTTATCGATGTACAGAATACCTGGTTAGGTATCTTAACCCTACTTACATACATGCAGAATACCTGGTTATGTGTCTTAACCCTACTTACATACATACAGAATACCTGGTTATGTGTCTTAACTCTACTTACATACATGCAGAATACCTGGTTATGTATTTTAACCTTACTTACCGACGTACAGAATACCTGGTTATATGTCTTAACCCTACTTACATACATGCAGAATACCTGGTTATGTATTTTAACCTTACTTACCGACGTACAGAATACCTGGTTATGTATCTTAACCCTACTTACTGACATACAGAATACCTGGTTATGTGTCTTAACCCTACTTACATACATGCAGAATACCTGGTTATGTATCTTCACCCTAGTTACTGACATACAGAATACCTGATTATGTATCTTAACCTTACTTACATACATACAGAATACCGGGTTAGGTATCTTAACCCTACTTACATACATGCAGAATACCTGGTTATGTATCTTAACCCTACTTACTGGCATACAGAATACCTGATTATGTATCTTAACCCTACTTACCGACGTACAGAATACCTGGTTAGGTATCTTAACCCCACTTATCGATGTACAGAATACCCGGTTAGGTATCTTAACCTTACTTACATACATGCAGAATACCTGGTTATGTGTCTTAACCCTACTTACATACATACAGAATATCTGGTTATGTGTCTTAACCCTACTTACATACATGCAGAATACCTGGTTATGTATTTTAACCTTACTTACCGACGTACAGAATACCTGGTTATGTGTCTTAACCCTACTTACATACATGCAGAATGCATGGTTATGTGTCTTAACCCTACTGACTGACATACAGAATACTTGATTATGTATCTTAACCCTACTTACATACATGCAGATTACCTGGTTAGGTAACTTAACCCTACTTACATACATGCAGAATACCTGGTTAGGTATCTTAAACTACTTACATACATGCAGAATACCTGATTATGTATCTTAACCCTACTTACATACATGCAGAATACCTGATTATGTATCTTAACCCTACTTACATACATGCAGAATACCTAGTTAGGTATCTTAACCTTACTTACCGACGTACAGAATACCTGGTTAGGTATCTTAACCCTACTTACATACATGCAGAATACCTGGTTATGTATATTAAACCTACTTACATACATGCAGAATACCTGGTTATGTATCTTAACCCCACTTACTGACATACAGAATACCTGGTTATGTATCTTAATCCTACTTACATATATGCAAAATAACTTGTTATGTATCTTAACCTTACTTACCGACGTACAGAATACCTGATTACGTGTCTTATCCATACATACAGATACATAACCAGCCATTTATTCTGTATGGTAGTAATTAGGGTTAAGATACATAATCTGGCTACGTATCTTAATCCTACTTACCGACGTATAGAATACATGGCTGGTTATGTGTCTTAACCCTAATTACTACCCTACAGAATACCTAATTATGTGTCTTAACCCTAATTACTACCATACAGAATACCAAGTTATGTGTCTTAACCCTACTTAGTGATTTACCGAATACCTGTTAATGCATCTTAATCCAACTTAGTGACATACAGAATACCTGATTATGTATCTAAACCCTAATTACTAACATACAGAATACCTGGATGGGTATGTATCTTAACCTTAACTTCTACCATACAGAATACCTGGCTGGTTATGTATCTTAACCTTAACTACTACCATACAGAATACCTGGTTATGTATCCAACCCCTTCTTACCGATAGCTATGTTTATCTCTGAAACACCTGCATTAGGTAAGCGATGCGTTGTTTGTTTATTTTAATTATTTATAGCCATCTTAACTACACGAGGGTACTAAACTCGGTTGAATGACCTTATATGAAAGGTGCGAGTAAAATATTCTTGTTTTTTATTCTTGGAAGATTATTTTTTGTCAGGATCCTATTTTCATTATGCAAGTGGTAAATTTATCAGGTAAATTATACACGTGTGGCATATAATTCAGAGATACTTTTCTACATTTAAAACGCCTTTCTTATTATCAATCGAAAACACCATCGTAACAGTAAGACATATATACTCGTGTTTAAGGGATAACAAGACGTGCAGGAAGAGAAAGGTTTGATGCTGTCTTATCATATGTCAGGGTTTTATTGATCCATATATTAAGTCTATCACAGAATAGAGACGTTTCACTAGCGTGTATTATTTGAGTAATAAATGGAATGAATCGAACATAACTATTTGCAGTTTGTAAATGTAAAGTAAGAGCCCTGAGATCTTAAGTGCCTATTTTTTAAATATATTATAAATAAATTTTTTAAAAGTAGCCTTGGAATACGTAATGGATGTTACACGACAGAAAAAGTCATTCATGAAGAACTCCAACAAATAGCGTTCTGGTAACAGCATATAAAGCCACACTCGCTCTTTGTTATCTATTTGCTTCTATTAATAGTGAATTCTCCATATTGTCATTAACAACTTCTACTCTTCTGACATTCGCTATTACAGTTATCTGGTTCACTTTCAAGTTTTATTTAAACTTCAAATAATTTTGTCAGTATCACTTGATGTACAGTCATAAAACCTTGAATACATTTATATTTCCATGCTGCTTGCATAATATATAATCCAATCGTAACTTTTCTTCATATCTTAAGAACATTTACACTAACCACCATGCGAGCTCTACGTATCAGCTTATCTTTATGTAGGTTTATTTGAGATAGATGAGCCGAGATTTATACAAGCTGGTTCCTTCACTTACCTAGAACATCTGAATTGTTGGTTTTTATCAATGGACACAGAAGTCATCAGTAGGACTAAATCGCAGTTTTTAGTTGCTATTTAATTTATGAGCAAGAATGTTTGAAAAATGTATATCTGAAACAATAGTAGAAGTATTCAATACGTCTAAAGATTTAACCCATGTAATTACAGGCTGGTTGTGGCTGTATTAAAACTTAGAATAATCACTTGACATTTAAACAAATATGACAATAAAAATCCATTTTCACAAATCCAAATGCGATAACTTTAGCTCTCTAAGAAAACCATAGCAACACTCAGAGTTAATCAACCAGTTTTTGTTGACGAGAAAAGGTGTCTTTAATCATTCAACGAGTAGTCTCTGTTGAAAAAGGAGGCATATCTTTAATCACTCCACAGGTTTTGAAGGTTGTTGACAAGACTGACTGCAGCACAAAACATTTTGAACCTCATGGATGAACTCATAAAATATTGAGGCCTAAACAAAGAAAACAAACGAGAGATTAAAATCGGAAACGTTATTAAATATATTTTAAAATATAAATTTGTGATGACTATATAAATATCATATTTATTTCACTTATTATATTTTATGTCTTTAAACCGTTTGAGGTTAATTTGATTAAATGAATATAGGTATTTGATATTTTCCACCTGAACGTGCTATGTGCTAGACGGCCATGTTACAGACTCTAAGGTTCAGTCAGCTGTAATTTAGAATTGTTGACCAGAAGGATGGAAAACAGTCAACAGTACTCACAGTCCATGATGCCACGTTTGACCGAATAGCGACGTTGGCTGTCACGTACAGTTATAACAGATCCACAGCCGATACTACAGATTGTGTCCAAAGGTGTATTGAATCACGAACTTTGGAAATTTCGCTCCGCAGCCTTATGAGATCTACTCTCATTAAGCAATAAAAGAGGGTTTTGTTTCATTCTGTCGCTCAAATAAAATGTTATTATATTTAAAAACAATTGATTCTAAACTAGGTGCAACACATTTGATATATTCTGAATCAAACAAACCTTGAAATAATACTTGATCGACAACGATCTACACAGACAAAGACATTTAAAATAACAAACAATACTTGATCGACGACGATCTACACAGACAAAGACATTTAAAATAACAAATAATACTTGATCGGAGACGATCTACACAGTTAAAGAGACTAAAATAACAAACAATACTTGATCGGAGACGATGTACACGGACAAAGACATTTAAAATAACAAATAATACTTGATCGGAGACGATCTACACAGATAAAGAGACTAAAAAAACAAACAATACTTGATCGGAGACGATGTACACGGATAAAGAGACTAAAATAACAAACAATACTTGATCGGAGACGATGTACACGGATAAAGAAAGTATAATAACAAACAATACTTGATTGGAGACGATCTACACGGATAAAGAGACTAAAATAACAAATAATACTTGATTGGAGACGATCTACACGGATAAAGAAAGTATAAGATCAAGTATTGTTTGTTGTTATACTTTCTTTATCTGTGTAGATCGTCTCCGATCAAGTATTGTTTGTTATTTATTCGTGTAGATCGTCTCCGATCAAGTATTGTTTGTTATTTTAGTCTCTTTATCCGTGTAGATCGTCTCCTGACTAAAATAACAAATAATACTTAATCGGAGACGATCTACACCGATAAAGAGACTAAAATAACCAACAATACTTGATCGGAGACGATCTACATGGATAAAAAACTAAAAAACTAATTATACTTGATCGGAGACGATCAACATGGATAAAGATCCTAAAATAACCAACAATACTTGATCGGAGACGATCTACACAGATAAAGAGACTAAAATAACCAACAATACTTGATCGGAGACGATCTACACGGATAAAGATACTAAAATAACAAACAATACTTGATCGGAGACAATCTACACCGATAAAGGGACTAAAATAACCAACAATACTTGATCGGAGACGATCTACACGAATAAAAGGACTAAAATAACAAACAATACTTGATCGGAGACGATCTGCACGGATAAAGGGACTAAAATAACCAACAATACTTGATCAGAGACGATCTACATGGATGAAGATAAAATAACCAACAATACTTGATCGGAGACGATCTACACGGATAAATATACTAAAATAACCAACAATACTTGATCGGAGACGATATACATGGATAAAGATACTAAAATAACAAACAATACTTGATCGGAGACGATCTACACGGATGAAAGGACTAAAATAACAAACAACACTTGATCGGAGACGATCTACACGAATAAAGAAACTAAAATAACCAATAATACTTGATCGGAGACGATCTACACGAATAAAGATACTAAAATAACAAACAATACTTGATCGGAGACGATCTACACGGATAAAGAGACTAAAATAACCAACAATACTTTATAGGAGACGATCTACACGAATAAAGGGACTAAAATAACCAATAATACTTGATCGGAGACGATCTACACGGATAAAGAGACTAAAATAACCAACAATACTTTATAGGAGACGATCTACACGAATAAAGGGACTAAAATAACCAATAATACTTGATTGGAGACGATCTACACGGATAAAGGGACTAAAATAACCAACAATACTTGATCGGATACAATCTACATGGATAAAGATACTAAAATAAATTATCAGAAGAGAAGACCACTTGGTTCATGAGGGAAATATACAGACTGAAAAAAAGAGCGAAGATTTGATTGAAATCGACCTAAGGTGAAAAGAATTCTAAAGGATACGAAAATCTATTCCGATTAGCGAGAGTAAAAGTGTTTGTTAAACATAGGGTCGATGTAAGTTTGATCAAAACTTTTGGTTTAGTTCGATTTTAGTCCATTGGAAAGTATTAAAGTCTTGGGCACTTAAAGTTACGGTGGTTGGATAAGACATTCCGTGTCATTAATTATGTACAGTACTGCAAATTGGATAAGCAGATAATATTCTGTAGAAAACCCATTAACGTTAATGTACCACCCTAATAAAATTATCCAGCCTACATTAATTACTAGAAGATGACAGTACTTAGTCACTTTTCAAGTGTCTTTACTCGTTCGGAGATTAATTACTGTCTTCATTTGGCTTTATGTAAGGTTTTAAAAATTCTGATTCTAAGGTTGTTGTTGTTTCTTTCTTAGTCCGTTGTATATTTGGACTTCTCAGAAACCGTACAAGTTGAAGAAATTTACAGAGCAGAAAAATGAAATTAAATTCTAGAGAAAACATCGAAATATAAATTAATATTAACGTAAAATGAGCCCTGGTGCTATAAAGAAAATCAGACTCACGATGCAGAATGTTTAGTGTCATGATAATGTTTTGTTGCTATATTCGTGAACCGATATATTAGGCTAAATATATTAGCAGAAAATGATAGCCACAGCGAGGAAGAATTATATCTAAGACTTTAAAAACACAGCTCATCTTTTTAGTAATTATTAATCACAGCTGGAAACAGTTATATCCAAAACGTTACAACACAGCTCACCTTTTTAGTATATGGTAACCACAGCTAGAAACAGTTATATCCAAAACGTTATAACACAGCTCACCTTTTTAGTATATGGTAACCACAGCTGGAAACAGTTATATCCAAAACGTTAAAACACAGCTCTCCTTTTTAGTATATGGTAACCACAGCTGGAAACATTTATATCCAAAACGTTAAAACAGAGATCAGATTTTTAGATATGGTAACCACAGCTGGAAACAGTTATACCCAAAACGTTAAAAACAGAGATCACCTTTTTAGTATATGGTAACCACAGCTGGAAACAGTTATATGCAAAACGTTAGAAACAGAGATCTCCTTTTTAGTATATGGTAACCACAGCTGGAAACAGTTATATGCAAAACGTTAGAAACAGAGATCTCCTTTT